ACTTTGAGTCAAGAACTCTCATTACCAGTAGGCCATTTGTTTTTGTTTCTAAAGAAACCAACAAAGCACAGAGGTCAGCAATTCATTTTCTTAGAGACATTCAGACGAATTCACAGGGGAAAAGTTAGTTTTTCTAAAACTATGAAAAGAAATGACAATATGAGAAATGAAAGAATCATCTCCCCCAGCCAAGACAAGCAGATGATACAAGACAGAACACTTTTCGTCTTAGTCTTTGTCCTTGGAAGTCTATCCCATTCTGCTTTTTTTTCTTAAAGTGGGCCTGATCAATAAGGAAATGGCTTGTCTACCTATGCCATAGAACAGTGGTTCCCAGCTTCCAGGATCTAATGCCTGATGATCTGAGGTGAAGCTGATATAATAATAATAGGAATAAAGTGCACAATAAAGGTAATGCACTTGAAAGTGTTAATCCTTCAGTTATGTCTGACTGTTTGCAACCCCCTGATTGTAGCCCACAAGGCTCCTCTGTCTATGGAATTCTCCGGGCAAGAATACTGAAGTAGATAGCCATTCTCTTTTCCAGGAAATCTTCCCGATCCAGGGATCAAACCCAGTTCTCCTGCATTATAGGCAGATTCTTTACCACCTGAGCTACTGGAAAAGCCCTTGAATCAGCCCCAAACCATTCCGCCCTCAGTAACACAGAGAACTTGCCTTCCACAAAACCAGTCCCTGATGCCAAAAAGTACTGCTGCCAAATAAGGTCAGGGGGAAGCCACTGACTTAGCATTGTCCTCTACATGAGTCCTGTACATTTGAAATCTTGAGTGTCTGGGATGGGATGCACTTTGGTCTACAATCAAGGTAACCTTGGGATACTATGAGGAATTTGATTTTGCCCAAGAGCACTGCTTTAGGTTTCATGTGAAGATTTCCTGCAGGAATGGATGACCCAGTTGGGATCCAAGAAGCCATTCCTCAATAGACTGATGACTCTCACCCTTTTGGCTTTAAAAGAGGAAGTACAAGAGCACTCAAGAAAAATGTGAAAATAGACATGGAAACAGACATATGATCGAAACAGCAGAGTGCAGCATGAAAAAAACCAACTTTATAAATCCATGAAAATGTATTAAAGGAAAAGGGCAATGCTTTGTGTGTAAATATTTGACATAAACTGGAAAACACCAGAAACTGAAGAATAAATAGAAGCATCAGTTAATCCAATTAACATTTCCTGTAAGCAAAGACTGCACTTTTGGAGTAAAGGTCCTGAGGAGATAAGTAAGTGATCCCAGATGAGCTATTGTTAGACATTAGGTGCATGTTGCATTTTGGAACTGTATGATAAGGAGTGAGAATATTAAGATGTAGAGAAGGAAATCTGAGATGTACCTGCCAGAGCAAATATTACAAAAGTTCAACTAAACATACTGAAGGAACCCAAGAGATCAGGGGTACAGCTTGTGATGAACCTCATTTGAATTTACGAAAATGACTGCCAGCTCTTCCTGACAGAAGGCAGAATGACCCAGAAAGTCCTTATGGTCCCCAAGGCAAAAGCTTAATTAGATACACCACTTCTAACTGCATAAATCAACACTTCCTAAAGGAAGGAGATTAATTTGTAAGGCACACATTGGGAGGGTGACTTTTGAAAATGCAAGAACTCTGGAGGCTAAACTACAGTACAATTTAATAGTGAGGCTTTTTGGGTGGGTGAATTTCAGGCAGAGGTTATTTGTGTGTCTCTTCATTCTACGATGGATACATGTAACTTCTATAATGAAAAATGTTTTGAAAGTGTATACTTCACAGATTCAAAGAATGCAAGCCATGGGGACCTCAGTTCAAGTCACAGCTCAGGTTGTAAAGTGGTCAGAGGTTAATATATTGTTGTAGATATTCAAAAGATCATTGCCAAAACTCAATGGAGAGGGTGTTTTACACTGCTTACTTATTTCAACCTGGTAACGGGTCTCAAAATGACTATGTAATTAAAAGCGTCATCTGATTATAAGCAAAGGATTTTTAAAATCTTATTTTGTTCATAGTGGGACAAGATCACACACAATTGTGTGTGTGAGTTACACTCTTCCTCTCATTATGGGCTTCTTAATAAGAGAAATTCTGTATCTTCCCTGAGGTGTGACCTGCCCATGTGGTGGGCCTGATGTCCTTTATGGAATATAACTGTGCTTCCTGGTAATTTTCTACTATGCTAGTCCTGCTATGGGCATTCCTGATGGCTCCATGGTTTTTTAAAAAAAAAAAAAGACCCTGCAATGCATGAGACACAGCTTCGATCTCTGGATCAGGAAGATCCCCTGGAGAAGGGAATGGCAAGCCACTCCAGTATTCTTGCGTGGGAAATCCCATGGACAGAGGAACCTGGTGGGCTACAGTCCATTTAGTCGCAAAAGAGTCAGACACGACTGAGGGACTAAACAATCCTGCTACAGGAACCCCTCTGAGAAAATTAGGAATACTCTAGCATGTGTGTTGGTGTAGAAAAACTCCTATCCCCTCTGTGAATTTTACAAGAAGCAAAAAATTGCAATGCATTTTCTCTGTCCCCATGCATTTTGTATTCACTTGATAAAAATATAAGTAATCTATTAATTTATGTTATGATACCACAGTGAGGGTGCATTTGATCTACAGTGTTTATTCTAAAGCCTCTCCTGTATTTTCTATTTAAGTCATGAAGATTGATCTTAATCTTGAAATGAAAGGAATAGGGATGGGGAGGGTTGGGGAAAATGGGGAGAGGGTGGTGGGATGGAGGGAGGGAGTGAGGGGAAAAGTAAGGAAGATTTTCTTAAGAATGCTTTCTTTCATTTGCATGAGACCTTACAAAATAATTGCTCCCCCACCCAAACAAAACATAGTTTAGAATGCAGTGATAGAATTTTATGTTTACTTTAGGAAACCTGGAAGTGTGTATTTCTTCATAAACTTTCAAAAAAGTAATCCCATTAATACTGGAAATGAATAAGTATAATTCTTTCCCAAGCCTCAGTCAGTTTATTTATGAGTTTGGACTAAATGGTTCTATGAAAATTAACTCCAGCTAATAAATCAACCAAGCTCTTACATTTGTTCCTAATTGCTGTGACAGCAATTCACATGGTTATTTATCTCAGTGACTTTATTTGGAAGGATAGTTGCTCAGTTGGAGAAGCGGTTCAAAGTCACTTTGAGCTCCGTTAAATTCATTGCTTAGCGCTGTTATTACTTTCAAGTCTTGTTTCAGTGAGCAAATCTCTGTCTTGCATTTTGTTTAGGAAATGGAGCCATCAAGAGCGGCTTTTATATTAGAATGGATGAGCATGATTTAATTTCGGTTGCCCAGCAATATCATATATCATAGTTATTATCTATGAATTGTCCTATGGCATAGAATATACTTTCCGAAGCAGATTAATGGAAAGAGATCGTTAAGAGGAAAAAGGGAGCGAGTACAGGTTTCATCTTCGAGACGTTTCATCTGAAATAGAAGCATGTCAAACATCCCAGGTGCCTGTTACTATAGAATCAAAAAGCCCTTTCCAGCTGTTTACACTTCAGATGCAAAATGGCAATTTGACAGACTAACCGGGTGATGTGAGCGTCTGCGTAAAAAGGCTACAGGCGGAGCATGCCCAGTGCGGTGAGCGCGTCCTCGGCCCTCCCCCTCCAGATCTCTGAAGATAAGCCTTGAACTTTGCACTTGCAAATGTCACCGCAGACGTTTTGCACTAGGTTGGGTTTTTCACCCCCCTTAAGGTTCTCGCACTACTAATGTCTTTTAACAATGCAAGAGCAGGGAAGATGAGAGGGTCATAAGATGCATGAAGTTTAGGACGAATTGATGCCTGTCTTTGGATGCGCTTAGAGTGTTATCTTTAAAGCCATCAAAAGCATCCAAGTGTTTGTTTCCCCTCCCCACTGGGATGAGAAAATAAGAATCTCTTTGGATTGGAGTCCTCCGGGGTAGGAAGTGAGAGCCCCGGAGGCCGAAAGGGACGGAGAAGCGGGGGTTTGCCCAGAGCATGGATGGGAACCGAGCAGGGGTTCTGCGGGGCTCAGCGCGCGCTGAGGATCGGTGCCCGGGGCTGCAGCTGCGGACGGGAAAGGCGCTGTCTGGCTGATGAAGGCCACCTGGATCAGGCTTCTGAAACGCGCCAAGGGAGGAAGGCTGAAGAATTCGGATATCTGTGTAAGCTTCAGGGCTTTCGTAGAGGGGAGACGTTATTTTGTCGTTGTTTCTGTCGTTGGTACAAGTGAGGGCTGTCTGGGGCTCCTGTGATTAGTAATATGATGCTGATTGCGAGAGAGGGAGCGGAAGACAGCCCTCTAATCCTCCAGCTCCTTTTCCTCTGCGGCGGTTTATCGCCCTCGGAGCTCCCCCCAGGCAGGTGTTTTCCCGTAGACAGCTTTGATGAAATATCTACTTAAAGGGATTGAAAAAGATATGTTGCTTAAAGATTGAGGGAAGCTGGCAGCTGTTGCCTTACAGTTTTGTCAGAGGAGGCATTGGGTAAAAACAGAGGTACCAAAGGCTGCTTAAGATCAAAGAGGGGGTCATCTATGGTAGTGGCGTCAGAGAGTTCAAGTTGATAACTCCCTTGACTTTATATTTGTTGTTTTTGTTTTTAGCCTATCTTCTTCCTAATTGTAAATTCTCACTGTAGCTGTGGACTGTTCTTGAAGCTCTCCTTGAAAACGGTGTGTGTGTCCTTCACTGCACTGCACCACAGAGTCAGTTTATTGATAAGAGAACTTGTTCTGGCTTTCAGAAAGGCTCCTAATTGGACCATAAGATTTGGGAAGGAAGGGTATCAATAACTTGGATGGGGTAACTCTCCTAGTGAGTGGTCTGCAAACCAAAGCTGGATGTATGTAGCTGGTTTGCCACCAAAATGGATTATTTTTGTTCCTCTTTTCAGGAATGGACAGCACAATCTAGGAAGCTAACTGCCGTGTCAGTGAGACTTTTCCATGGCCAGCGTCATAGACGGAATCTCTTTTAAAATGTCCATTTTCCTCTCCAGGGTTCGGCAGACTCCTACACCAGCCGTCCATCCGATTCAGATGTTTCTTTGGAGGAAGATCGGGAGGCAGTGCGCAGAGAAGCAGAGCGACAGGCCCAGGCCCAGTTGGAAAAAGCAAAGGTAAAACCCTTCCTTCTGTGCCAAGCTCTTTGTCCATTGTGCTGAGTCCATGGTGGGCCACCTGCGGAAGTTCCTTCTGAAATGTACATCTGGTCTGTTACCTTGTTTTCTTGATTGGCTGTAAAGAGGTACAAGATGTGGAATGTACTGACTTCCCTCGGTAGAAAAAGGCAGTGTAATATATGAGTGGTCTTGCCTTTTATGTTGTTTTATAATCCAAGCAACTTGTTTCCATGGGTGGATGGTTTATTTAGATGCAGAAAAATGATCCCTGAATATACAAAGAGGAAAAACTGCTTCTAATAAGAAAAGGATTTACTTTGTTTTGTTATCAGGAAACCATTTCTCTGCTTAGAAAAACAAACTTTCTTCAAGCTGATGTTTATTCTCTTCGACTTGAACAACCTTTCCTCTCACTTTTACTCCTTAGGTGTTTTATAATAGTATTTTTCTTATATTTAAAAAAAATGGATTGCATTATGCTTTTCAAAAAGCAAGCAAGGAAGGATTCTATTAATTAAAGATGTCCCTCTGTTTGGAGCTCTTTCTTCTCCATCCCATAATAATTAAGTGGAAGGGGACTGGAAACCAGATATGAAACATAGAAGTACAGAATTTAGCTGAGACTGTTTCATTTCACACATTGCCATGGTTTGGATTCTTTCTCCCCTGCAGTAGTTCAAATAGCAGCTATTTCTAAAGCATAGACTGCTGTTGTTCAAGTTCAAAGGGCCTTGGTGTGTGTGATACTTGGTAATTTTTAAATGAACCTATTTTAACGAGGTCATCGGTTTTCTTTTGAAAAAAATGACTGCTTTGAAAAAAGAGTAAGTGTTGATCTTGCTAAAAAAAAAAAAAATCCAGGGTAACATTAGAATACTTCTGCTGGCTGCTTCGTCTCTGAGATGAGTAAAATCTCTGTGTGTTGCTATGGGAATCATGGCTTGGAGATGCTGGTTTGAATGCATGGACTGCCCTTATGTAATATTCATGACCTCTAGCCCAGCTGCCATAGTAGTTTGCAGAGGAGCTGCCAGGAGACCTTGACTTAAAAAAAAAAAGTACTTCCAGACATGAAAACAGTGTTCTCACCTCAGTGGGCAGGGAAGTCATCTCCAGGTGTGACAGTCTTGACTGCAAGAGGACTCATAAAGGGCAGAAGCAGAAAACTGATAAAGCAAGGTGTGGCCCTGTGGCCACCAACGTATCTGCTCTGCTGAAGTTAACCATTTAAAATATTATGATGTGCCAATATGGGTGAGAGTGGCGGACATATGCTAAGTGAAATCAGCTGATCACAGAAGGACAGACGCTTTATGATTCCACTGATAGGAGGTATCTAAAGTAGTCAAGGAGGAAGGCTCAAAAGTGTGTGTGTGTGTGTGTGTGTGTGTGTGTGTGTGTGTGTGTGTGTAGTTGTGTCTGATTCCCGTTCCACTGATAGGAGGTATCTAAAGTAGTCAAGGAGGAAGGCTCAAAAGTGTGTGTGTGTGTGTGTGTGTGTGTGTGTGTGTGTGTGTGTGTGTAGTTGTGTCTGATTCCCGTTCCACTGATAGGAGGTATCTAAAGTAGTCAAGGAGGAAGGCTCAAAAGTGTGTGTGTGTGTGTGTGTGTGTGTGTGTGTGTAGTTGTGTCTGATTCCCGTTGTTGTACAGCAGAAACCAACACATTGTAAAGCAACTATCCTCCAATTTAAAAAATTTTTTTAAATAAAAGAATAATAAAGTAGTCAAACTCCTAGAAGCAGAGGGCAGAATGGTGGTTTCCAGGGACTGGAGGAGGAGGAAATGGGGAGATTCCACAGATAGAAAGTTTCAGTTATGTAAGATGAATAAGTCCTAGAGATCTCCTGTACACCGTTGTGTCTATAATAGAGTACAGCTAACAGTTCTGCTCTTCATTTAAAAATTATTAAAAGGGTAGGTTTCTTGGTAAATGTTCTACTGCAGTAGAAAAACTATGAAGTTGAAATTAATGAATGTACAACCAATGAAGTTAATTGCCCCAAATTTGTCTTGTAGCTAATATATGCTGCAATTTAGAATCTCAATTCTGCATTCTGTATTTTGCACCAGGGTGCCAAAGGAAAAAAAAAAGTCAAGAAAAAGAAACTAAATAACAACTTGTATTCCAGAATAAGAATGTTCTATTTGCACTTGTTTATTCATGTGATTTTTCACATGCTAAAATTAAACAGTTTCTCCAGCTCATATCACATCATCATACAATCCAGTGTCTTGTAAGTTTGCTTTTCATCAACCACAAAGTCCTTAGTTATCTGTTGGTGCATTTTTGTCTCTCACTGCTCTAAGTCCTGAGTTCAGTGACACAGCTGCATAGAACTTTTTTTTTCTTTTTTTGTACTAATTGGAAAATAATTGCTTTACAATGTTGTGTTTTTTTCTGCCGTAGAACAACTCGAATCAGCCATAAGTATATTCCCACCCTCTTGAGCCTCCCACCCACTCCCTCCATCTCACAGAGGTCATCACAGAGGCGGGTTGGGCTCCCTATGTTATATGGCAGAACTTTTTAGTATCTTTCAACCCAGTATGGATCATACTGTTTTCCTTAATCAAGCCGGATTTGTGTTACTTGTCATACAGACTAAAACATTTATAGTTACAGGAGAAGTAGAAGATGAAAGAAAATGAAAAGAATTTAAAACAAAAGCAAAATAATTGAAGGGCTATATCCTGTGTTTAATGAAAACCACTTACATTCATTTTTCTTCTTTAAAATTAGGCCAGTTATCTTAAACCTCTGGATTCAAATATATGAGTTACACTAAAGTGAGTGAGAATTTGAATATGTTCTGAAAGAAGATACGAAGAGTAGGATTTAAGTGTACTTTTGGTTAAAATCATGGTTTGGTAGGTCTGATTTCTTAATTCTGATATTTTTGAAGAAGGTATACAGAAAAAGGATCATACATGGGTCATTCATTGGGCTATTTTTAATCTCTTTTCCTCCTCCGATATATCATCGTGCCTTTGTGGGATCTATTTCAAAATGAAACCTTAAAGTTCAAAAATATATGAAATCATTGTTTACTTTTAAGATAGTTTTAAGCACTTTTTCCAAGCATTTTGAAAGACGCAAATGTTTTTTACGTTTATTTTGTGCCTATCATAGCATCTTTCAAGTAGAAACTCTTTATAACTTGGTGCTTTAACTCACCTACCCTGCAGATCACTTGCTATAAGTATGTGCAGTATCAAAAATACTGATCTTTCAACCAGAAACAATCATGGAATCATAATAAAGACAAATGAACTAAAAAAAAAAGCCTGTGCAAGTGCCTGAAATAAGCCTCAGTCGTGTTTTCAGACCCTGTCACTCTGTAAATATGAAGTATATTATCCATTAATTGCCTTAAGAATACACCCATGAAATAAGGTGATTGACAAGTAATGAAACTAGAGAAAATAGCTTTTGAAATTAACTGACCTACATAAGATTATATAACCTGGCCCTCTGTGCTTTCCGTAAAGCCCAGTACTTTTCACTACTGCTTTGTTATGGCTTCTCTTAAACTAGTAAACTGTGCAGTGAACAGATGAAATATTTATTTTGAGGCAAATAACTCACATGACCTTGTTCTTTAACTTGATGTTTTCTGATTCCACATGCACATTTTGATCTTGTTCAGGTTCTCTGTACTTTGAAGAGCCTGCCCTATTTAATCTGGCTCTCTTTGATATTGCCTTAAAGGCAAATAATATAGGAACTTAATTTATTCCCACATTAGTAGAACAGCTTTACTGAGATATAATTCACTCATTTAAAGTGTAACATTTTGGTGACTTCACTGGTGGTCCAGTGATTGACTTCACCTCTCAGTGCAGAGGGTACAGGTTTGATCCCTGGCAAAGAGCTAAGACTCCACATGCCTTGCAGCCAAAAAACAACAAAATATAAAACAGAAGCAATATTCTAACCAAGTCAGTAAAGACTTTAAAAATGGTCCACATCAAAAAAAAAATCTTTAAAAAAAAAAAGTGTACAATTCCATGGATTTTAGAATATTTAGTGTTGCAACCATTACTGTAGACTTTAGAACATTTTCATCGTCCCCTTAAGAAATCTCATGTTCTAAATTAGCAGTCACATGCTGTTCTTCCCACCCACCTCAGGCCTAGGCAACCACTATTCAATTTCCTGTCTCCATAGATTTGTCGGTTCTGGTTATTGCATATAAATGGAATCATGCAATAGGAGGTCTGTCATGATTGGCTACTTTCCTTTAAGTAGCATGTTCAGCATTATTCCTGTTATCGCATGTATCAGCACTCCATTCCTTTTCCTTGACAAGTAATATTCCATTGTATACATTTATCACATTTTATTTACTCATTTATCAGTTGGTGGACATTTGGGTTGTTTCCATCTTTAAGATAGGACTGGAAAAGTTCAGTTTTCATTCCAATCCCAAAGAAAGGCAATGCCATGCCAAAGAATGCTCAAACTACCACTCAATTGCACTCATCTCACATGCTAGTAAAGTAATGCTTAAAATTCTCCAAGCCAGGCTTCAGCAATACGTGAACCGTGAACTTCCAGATGTTCAAGCTGGTTTTAGAAAAGACAGAGGAACCAGAGATCAAATTGCCAACATCTGCTGGATCATCAAAACAGCAAGAGAGTTCCAGAAAAACATCTATTTCTGCTTTATCGACTATGCTAAAGCCTTTGACTGTGTGGATCACAATAAACTATGGAAAATTCTGAAAGAGATGGGCCTACCAGACCACCTGACCTGCCTCTGTATGCAGGTCAGGAGGCAACAGTTAGAACTGGACATGGGACAACGACTGGTTCCAAATAGGAAAAGGAGTACGTCATAGGACTGATGTTGAAGCTGAAACTCCAATACTTTGGCCACCTGATGCGAAGAGCTGACTCATTGGAAAAGACCCTGATGCTGGGAAAGATTGAAGATGGGAGGAGAAGGGGACGACAGAGGATGAGATGGTTGGATGGAATCACTGACTCAATGG